AAAAAAAAAAAATACTGTTTTGTCGATATATGGAATCATATTTTATATAATAATCACACTTATCTATCGGTCTCCTCGTATTTCATTTTCAGGTTTCCAATAAAGACTGATTTGCTTTAATTAAAATATATTTTTTTGGAGCCCAAAAGTCAAATTCATATTTAAGTAACATGTGATTAATCTTAATTATTATTATTTTTAATTGTTTTCACACTCAACTTCTGCTCATAAAATAATTAATTTATTTCACTAGTGACTATAGCCAATTATTTCCACCTATTTAACAGTGTATTTTGTTTTCTAGCATTATTGAACAAATTAAAAAAATGTTCTCATAAAATCCAGTATAATTTGGCATATCATTCCTGGATTTTCGTTAATCATGTCTTATTGTTTTCTTGTTCTTTTCTTATTTTTTTCTGTGAGGACTATTGTTGTGATTTATAGGTAGCTTTTAGACTTATATTTTATCTTTATTTACCTTTATTTTTCTCGACTTTCTTAAACGTGTTTGTGTGTGTGTGTTTTTTTTTTTTTCTTACGCTAAAGTGCAAAAACAAAAAAATGACAAAAAAAAACTTATTTTTTTTTTTCTTTATTACGGTAAGCTCATTGTTTCAAACAATAATGAATATTAAAATATTTGATATTACTTTTGACTTAATTTTTTTTTAGATTACATAATTAATACAATTTACAATTGATTTGATAGTTTAAATTAAATTATAGATTTTATTATTTAACAGTCATGTTATGACATGTATAAATATTTGTAAGAAATAACGCTTGAATATCGTCGTTTAAATTCAATTATTTTGTATGAGACCATTTTATATGACTTAAATTCTTGTTTTGTTAATATATGTGAAAATATACATTATTTAAAAATATTATATTTTATGTTGAAATAATTTACGCAACGCGCTACGCTATCTACATTACGAAATACAAGGACCAAAACGTGTTGCGCTGTACTTTTTTTAAAACACCGCGCTAAGAACATGAACTACTCCAATATTGAAAATAAAAAAAAAAAAACAATCATTTTTAAAAGTATTTGGGGGATCATTAAATTGAATGTTTTTGATCCACCATATAAATTATAATCATCATATATTTTATGGAAAAAATCATTGCCCTATTTAGTAGGGAGATGATAACAAAACTTTTCCACACATCCATTAATGGCTAATTAAGCTTTTATTCATCCTCAAAGTAAAATAGCCATCATTTTCTTAACTTTTTGCACCGAATAACATATACTAAAAAAAAACAAAAAAATAATTGATGTTATACATATCTAAATCGTTACATATATTTTTTTTTCACTATATATGTTTATTTTTATACTATACTTATCATACTAATTAAAATGACAACATAGACAAAAGTATAATATTTCACAATCGACCAGCTTAACGACCTAGAAAATTTGTGTTAAATTAAACAATATTAGAATAAAAAAATATTAGTATAAAATTAATATATATATATATATTTAGTGTTTTTTGTTACATTATTACCATACTAAAAAGTTATATATGTATTTTTATTAAATTATATTATTGGTACTTTTTTTTTGGAGCCCCTTGTGGTTCATGTGTCAATTCAAAATGGATTTTCTTTTTTTCTTTTTTTTTTTCTTTTATATTTCCAAGCACCTACGTGTCCCAATGAACGAATGCCAAGTAGGTTTGAATGGCTGGGCCCCTCATGCGGGCCGGATTGTGTTTGATGCTGTGGGTTCTTGGTGTTGGACGAGAAGGGACATTGGGCCAAAACAAGTGGCCCATCCATGTGTTGTCAAATGTCTATTCCCTCGAATTATATAAAATTAAATGTTTTACTATCTCAACTTTTATAAGCATATTAATTTTTTAATAATAATAATAATAATAATAATAAGAAGATGATATTATTCATTAATTTTAGTTATAAAAAATATCTTTTGATTCAAATGATACATAGTTTCTTTTTTTTTTGTTTTTTGTTTTTTTTTGTATGAAACAATCTTACCATTAAATGGGTCGACTCGTCATATTATTTGGACAGAACGCATACTTATAGTGTAAAGTGTTATACTTCAATTTATGTTGTTTTATAAAATATAATATTTTCTAATAAAAAAACATGCACATTTTATTTTTTGAAAACAAGAGTATATCAGCTTAACATAAGTCCAATCAATAATTACCAATTTTACAAATTAACAATATTTTTCGCTCAGCAAAATTTTCATAAATCGCGGTTGAAATAATATTGCTAACTAATTCGCCCAAATAAATTGGAATATTTATAAAAATAAATTAAATTACCATTTTCCATTGTGTATATTGTGTTCAAAATGAATAATTTTTCTATTGATTAAAGTTTGAATATATATGCATGCGTGCGTGTGTGTTTAGAAATATCAAAGTCCATTTTTTCTCATAAAATTGTTAATTTTGCATCTCGCTTTCAAATTTATGTTGTTGCAATATCTTTATTTCCAACATTTTTCAAATTTCAAAGGTAGCTTAAGAAAATATTTCAACAAATAATTAACTCCCTCAAATACTTAGGTCATGAAAACATATATAAGACATATGTCAAAGTCCATAAATAGGACAATGTTACGGTCTCCCGTTACAGTATTATCTCGTCGGATATTTTTTTTTTGGTACGGGGACCTTCCGGTTTCCAGATCCACAGGGGAACCGACTAATCCAGAATCGAGCCGGGTAGGACCACAAGGGCGGCAAAGCTCTCCCTCAAGAGTTTTAACACATCTCGTCAGGTATTTTAACTGTTGGATCATATGGTTAAAACACCCAACGGGATAGTACCTATGTCAAAATATGTGAAAAGTTTGCGTAACTCACCCGCTATTAGCAATAAATAAATAAATTTATTCAAAAAGTGGCAAATTTGAAAAATGAAAAGCATCACAAATTTTAGTCAAAGGGTTTATGTTCGAAATTTTTTCTTTGCGCCACTAAGTTTTATCTGATTCTGAAAACGGATAAATTTATATATAAGTCAAAAGTTATTTTATTTAGTCCAAGCTCCACAAATTTACCTACCGTGCACTCGAATGTTAACAAATAAATAAAAGAAAAAAAAAAAGTAGGATAAAAATAATAATATAAAAAGTTTTAATAAAGTTAATTATAAGTGAATTAATGAACACTACAGCTTTTTAATATATTTGCATACGTTTAAATTAAATTATTGTATTCTAGCAACATAAAATATACATATTTCGCAGCATAATATACATTTTTATTTAAAAATTACGAGAACTAATTGATCCACCTATCTAATTGTTAGACAATCTTATACAAAATAAGCTGTGATTAACTTCGTACTTTTCTATTTGCTCAACTTGCTATTGTATCTAGAAATGGATAAATTTCTTAAGTCAAAAGTTAATTTGATTTAGTCCAAGCTAGGACTGCAAACGAGTCAAGCGGCTCACGATCCGCTCGTGATTAGCGCTCGAATCAAAGTTCGACTCGAGCTCGAGTTTGACCGAACTTAAGTCGAGCTCGAGCCCACATTTTTGCGTTGTCAAGCGGCTCGTCGAGTGCTCGATATATATTAAATTACTAAAAATATACCCTTTATATATATATTTAATTTGTATAACATAAGTGCTTAATGTTAATTTCACTTTAAATTTTTCGAGCCGAGCTCGAGCATTTAATTTCCAGTCAAGCTCGAGCCGAGCTCGATCTATTGTATTTTCTTATCAAAACGAGCTTGAGCCTAATAAATCGAGCTCGAGCTCGAGCAGCTAAAATAATAATAATAAAAAAAAATCAGTCCTGCTTGATAAAATCAATGCTCAATTTGACTCGACTTGGCTCGTTTGCAATCCTCGTGAAAGCTCCAAAATTTACACAAGCGTACACTCCATGTTTAACAAATTAAAGAGAAATAAAAAGTCTT